TCAGCAGGGCCAGAAGGTCTTATCTGGACTTTTTTTTTAAAGGATATTTTTTTCTTTCTAGTTGTTTTGATAGAGTATGTTTGGGAAATGGCTGCAGGTACCATTACAGAGGCAGACCCAAAGGGTTGTTTGCCCTGGCATGAAGTGAGAATGACCCGGCACCTGGGCTGGGCTAGCCTAGCTCTGGGAGCTTCTTGCATTCTTCCAGTAGCAATAAAGCTGTACTGCATTGTGTGCATGTGCCCCCAGAGTCTGAGGTTTGGAGAGGGCCTCAGCATGTTACAAGATTAATTTCGGTAGATCGCAAAGCACCCAAACCCAGGAAAGGTGATGTGCAAGTTGCTGAGGACAGATGGTCTCTTCTTTGAATGCAGGCAGAGTGAAGAGCATGTAAAAGGTGCTGCTCAACCCTTGACCCAGCAGGCTGGTGTGCTGCCACTGCACTGGGCTGGGCCTAGGTGTCTTCAATCCATTATTTTCTCTGTGCATCCAGGGTGTTGTGTCTGCTGGGGATTGATAAAACCGGGAGAACATGCAGAAAAGGGTTAAAAAAAAGCTAGAGGCAAAGTAGAAAGGTTAATGAGGATAGCACCTGCAAGTGTTCCTTGTTGGGGTGGGCGCAGCAGCCAGTGCCAAGCTGGGGGACCTGGTCCAGCTCCTCGGAGTGCCTTTCTCGCTCAAAGCAACAGTCTAGCGTGAGAGGAGGAGGGGGTTTATTTGCTTTTTTTCAACAGTAACTGCTGAAAGAAGGCTCCTAGTCTGAGGAGGTTAAAGCTGGGTGTTCCAGCTGAACCCTGGAGCTTCTTGCCCTGACGTGCTCCGTTTCTCCTCTCTGCTAGGATAGTCAAACCAAAAGTGGCCTCCATGGAGGAGATGGCAAGCTTCCACACAGATGCCTACCTGCAGCACCTGCAAAAAGTCAGTGAGGAAGGGGACGATGACCATCCGGAGTCTGTGGAGTATGGACTGGGTAAGGACACGTATCTTTCAGTGAAAAACCGAGTCCAGGATGCTTTTTGCTGGCTTAGAGAGAGGTGTGAGCTCAGGTGGGCTGCTCTCTTTGTAGAGGGTAGCACTCTTTGATGGGGTGTTGCTAAACCCCGTCAGGCAGGGGTGCGCTGTCAGGCTGGTGTGTTCGCTGTTACCAGCAGAGGGTACTGTCAGCCCGACGCTGCTGCTCCGTGCCGCTCAGCCTGTCCCTTGCATACGTACCGCTGCTCTTTGCCGCAGGCAGGACAGAACGCTGCTCTTGAAACAGAGCTGCGTCTGACTGCTGCAAGTGTGCTGTGGTGGAGGGCATGGGTCAACAACGGCCTGAAGCTACAGCAAGGGACTAGAGCAGCTGCTGTTTGCCTGGTGACTTTGCTGACACCTTGAGCAGAGGGCTCTTGCCTGCCTGGACTTAAGTTAGCCTGAACAATGCAGTGAAAGTGGCTGTGGGTACTGTCTCCTCAACTTAGGGAAATGAATTCAATTTATTGCCAATTAATAACATAGTAGGATAGTGAGAATTGAAAACAAAACAAAAATCATCTTAACCCTCTTCTGTCCTTCTTGGACACAATTTCACTTCCAGCTCTTCTACTGCCTTCTGCCCTGAGCGGTACGTGGGGGACACGGGCTGTGGGCACTTCAGCACACGGTCTCTGCCACTTCTTCCTCATCACATGCTGCAGCATGGGATCACTCCCATGGGAGACAGTTCTCCACAAACTTCTCCCAACATGAACCCTCGCTATGGGCTGCAGGTCTTCACAAACAGGGTGCAGTCCCTCAGGAACTGACTGTTCCAGCATGAGTTCCCCCATGCGATCACAAGTCCTGCCAGTAAACCTGCTCCACTGTGGGCTTCTCTCTCCATGAGGCTGACAGGTCCTGCCAGGACCCTGCTCCAGCTCAGGCCTGTCATGGAGTCACAGCCTCCTTCATGCTTTTACCTGCTCTGGTGTGGGGTCCTCCACTGGCTGCAGGTGGTTATCTGCTCCACTGTGGACCTCTGTGGGCTGCAAAGGGGCAGCCTGCCTCACCATGGTCTTCAGAACAGGCTGCAGGGGAATCTGCTCCAATGCCTGGAGCACCTCCTCACCCTCCTCCTTTACTGACCTTGGTGTCTGCAGCATTTTTTACCCTTTCTTCAGTATGTTAGCACAGACACAGTGATAACTTTTTTTCAGTGTGTTACCACCATCACTGCTGATGGGGCCTTGGTGGCCAGCAGTGAGTGTGTCCTGGAGCCATCTATGGGTGCAGCTCCTGGTGTATTCTCCCAGAAGACATGCCTGCAGCTCCCCATTTGCTACCAAAATCTTGCCTCACAAATCCACTACCATTTTTTTTTTTTTTTCCTATTTATGCCCCCTAAATCTTCTGTGTGAGTCCAAATTTGATACCTCATGTCAAGGTTTTGTACCATGGCTTTTTCACTGTGTCTGGAACAGGAATTCAGAACAGCAGTTAAAGAAAGAGACCTCGAAATAAATAGAATTAGCTGCCCTGAGAGGAAGAGGCCTGTTGTGTCTGACACATGAACTCTGACCTGCAGGTTACGACTGTCCGGCTACCGAGGGAATCTTTGAGTATGCAGCAGCCGTGGGAGGAGCCACCATCACTGCAGCCCAGTGCCTGCTGGACGGCAAGTGCAAGGTAGCCATTAACTGGCCTGGAGGGTGGCATCATGCAAAGAAGTAAGAAAATAATCTCTTCCCTTATGTTTTCTCACCTGGTGTCTGAACCCTGCCTCCTAGCTCCCAGCTTCCCTGCGAACCATCAGGGTTTGTCAATCCAGCTGGAAGAGAGAGCTGGGAGTGAGAGGGGTGAGGGAAGGCAGGAGGTAGGCGGGGAAGAAGCAGAGTGTAGAGCACAGGCCTGATGAGAGTAGGTTGGTTACTGCCCGGTCCTGGTGCTGTCGTGGACAGCAGTGTGAGTCTGGGGCAGATACATTTGGAGGCATCCCTCTGTCCCTAAATACTTTATCTCTGGGAGTTCAAGTGAAGATTCATTTTGCAAAGGCCATGGAGGAGGCTTGTGGAGAGGCTAACAACTGGTGTTGCTCCCAACCCAAGAGAAGGAATACAGCAACATGTCCAAATTGTTCTATGTGGCTTTCTTGTTTTTTTAATGAGAAATTTGAAGCAGTACAGGACTGACCTCTATTTTATTCCATGCTCTGTGAGTGGTTCTTTGCTCTGAGCTGTAATGATCTTCCAGAACAGGACAGGAGAGGAAGTAAAAATTTAATCACTGAATCCTGTGACTCTGTAGTGGTAAAATAATTTGTTAGCGTTGCTTCCCCATTTTCCATGGATATGTTTTGTGTCCCCCATCTCCCAAAACATGAGGCCTGTCTGCAAATGCAGACAAGGCAGCACCCTTCCTTATCCTTAGCTAACTGCTTTGCAGTGCTGTTCTGTTTCCCTGGGGCAAACCTCAGGAGTTAGCATGAACCACATAGCTAACCCTGACAACTTCTGCATGAGTGCACAGGTTTCTCTTCTTGTTCCAGTAACTTTTCTGACCTGGCAGAGAAACTCTGGAGGTGTAACAGGGGTGTGCAAATGCCAGCGATGACAATGTTGCCTCAGGATGCTTTTCCTTTTTGCTGAACATGGGTTCAACTATGCCTTGCTGAGAAAGGGGAGAATTTAGCTTGGCTGAGCTGAGCCCTCTTGCTCTTTGCAGGAGGGAGGGCTTTTAAAAAACCATCTGTTTTCTTTTATCCTGATTGTGTAGTTTATACAGTGCCTGTAACAGAAGAAATCTTAGTGGTGTTGCTGCCACTGAGTTGTGCTGTTAGCACTTTTCTGAGAAACAATCTGTTTAAAAGGGATATTTACTACTTATTAATGCCAAAGGAGCCTTCCCAGTCACCCCAGTGAGGTGGCATGGGATGCTGCAGGGTAGGCAGCAGCTGTGCTGCAGCTCTGGTGCTGGTCTGTCTCTGACTGAGCTGGTATCTCACTCTGCTTGACCTCGAGTTCAGAAGAGATTGTGTGACAGTGTGGAGAAAGTGCCTGAGAGGTGATGTAGTTCACTTTGCTTCCATGTGAGCCAGGAAGGAGAGGAGGAATAGAGTGTGTAGTCACAGTTAGGGAAGATTCCCAGGGTACCTGCTAATATCCCAGTTCTCAGCATCACTGTAAATGAATAGAGTCACTGGGAAGCATGTGTGCTCCATGGCACTGGCAGAGAACGAGAGCAGGTGCAGTTCTGCCACCCTGTCCAGCTGTTTGCTCAGCAGAGGAGGATCAGGGGAAGTGAGCTGCATGCTGTGGCTGAAAGTCAAGCATTTCCAAGGGGCACATCTTGGATCTTGGAGTTATTTGAACCTGGGGAAGAGGGATTTGGACACTCCTGCTACAAAGTATAAAGCTTTGGTTTAAATCAGCTATCCAGGGGTGACCTAGGAGTGCATATGGCCCATTACCAAGTGGTGATGTGGACTTTGAAGCGAATCTGGAGTAGGGATTAAGAAACTTTCTTGTTCCTTTGATGCCAACAATATGGAAGTTGCCCTCTGATGTACATCAGGGATAAATTTTTTCCGTGCAACATCGTCCTCTGTTTAGCTGCTGGGGCTGTCTTCTGGCTGAGCCCAGGAGCTGTGTTGTAAGGGACTGCATGTGTGGCATCCTGTTTGCATTTTCTAGGGGAGGAAGGGAGAGTGTTGCTTTGGGAAGAGTCTTGACCTTTGTACCCTGAGACTTTGGAACAGAGCAGTAGAATATTGCAGCTGACTTGGACCTTCCTTCCAGGAAGGATGGAGTGGCTGCCTGCCTGTGCCTGTCCAGCAGTCGTAGGAAAATAGCCAAGCAGGACTGTTCAGTGGCCTGTGGTGTTGCTGCAGAGGGAGAGAAGATACAGGGGACAGTGGTTTTGAGTCAAGTGGCTCTAAACTTCTTTAAAACCTCTCAGGTGCAGGAAGCTCATTTTTTATTTGTGCAGCACTGAAATGGTCAGAGGTATTCTGCAAAGCTCCCACGTGGGTCAGGGTCTCTCTGCAGCAGAGTTGGCTGATGCTTTACCAGCTGCCAGCGAGCCCAGGGCTGAGAAGCAGTTAGCACAAACAGTCACATTCTCTGTGCTTCCCAGCCAAGAGCTGCTCTTGACTCCTCCCTTGATCACTGCTGGGCTCTTTATCCTCCTCTGTGCCCCTGCAAGGTAGGGACTTGCAAAGTAAAAGTGACAATGCTGAGATCAGTGGCAATTGCATTGGCAAAGTTCAACCTCATGGACGTTGTTTTCACAGAGATGAAGCTTCTGGCTTCTGTTACCTGAACGACGCCGTCCTGGGCATTCTGCGGCTCCGCCAGAAGTTTGACCGTGTTCTTTACATCGATCTGGATTTGCATCATGGGGATGGTAAGGCCCAGCACAGGCTGCAGACAGCACAGCCACACAGACCTGAGGGGAATGGGAGAGGTCGAGGCCTGTCAGGGCAGTAGGTCTTTGCGTGCTGCAACCTGCAGCATGTGAACAGGACTTTACCTCCTTCCAGTGCACTTAGGTTCCCTCCATCCATTTCTGTCTTGTCCTGCCTTATGGATTTGCCTTGTGCTGCTCATCAGACTTCCCTTGAGGGTCTGGGCAGCAGTCTTGTACCTAAAGTGACAAACAGCATGTTCCCATTCCAGTAATCCCCTTTGCCAGTGGCCCTCCAGCAAGGACTTTGCCATGTGCCTTGTCTCCCATCCCAGCAGAACAGCTGCTGACAGTGTTTAATTGTTTAATGCCAGCAGTTCGAGAGGGAAGCAGTCAGTGCTAAATGGTTCTTTTAAAAGGTTCCCCCCCCCCCAATTTGGTTTCTGTTAAGTTTCCTGTTCCTTCATTTTCCTTCTCCACTCCCAACTATTTTAATATGCCTTTAAGGAAAAGAAAAGGCATGTTGAACTGCAGCAGCAGTGAGAAAAAGCAAGAGAGTACTGTAGTTCTGGTTCTAATCAGAGCTGAGTTCTGGCCAAGGCAGCCCTGCTCAGCTCCCTCCACCGGCCTTGCAGGCCAAGCAGTGCAGGCCAGTGCTGCTGGCTGTGGGCATGGCCTGAGGTAGTGACATCCATTCAGTGCTGATTAGCATGAGACTGGCCAAATTACTGTAAGTTCTGACCTTTGCTGCAGTTTAATGTGGGTCTCTGTTGGTTAAGGATGGATTTGTTGAGACACGCGTTTTTCTGCTGTGTTTGTTCTGTTCCTGCTCTGCTTGCTACCCCGTTGCTTGTTTGTGTCTTTAAACTGTCATTTATGTAAACAGTGCATGAAAGCTTTTTTGTCTTCCTTTTTCTGGTAGGAGTTGAAGATGCCTTTAGTTTCACCTCAAAAGTCATGACTGTTTCTCTGCACAAGTTTTCACCAGGATTTTTCCCAGGCAAGTTGAACTTTTTATTTGTGCTCATTTGGTTTTTGCGTTACTGGTGAGGCCTCAGCAAAGGCAAGTCCCCTCCCTTCTGTCCAGCAGAGGTGTCTCTCTGCCTTTCCTGTTGACACAGGTAAAGGAAAGAGGGGATGAACTACGTGTTGGGCATTTCCCCCTTTCTGGTTGTGGCTAAGCTCTGGACAGAGACACTGGTGGGTGGCCACCTGCAGCCCTTGAAAGCTGCATGGCAGAACTGGGCAAGAATCAGGTGGTTCTCCTTTTTATTGGTTGTGGCAAGTGGACTTCTCCATAAGCATGCCAAAGGTCTTGGCTCTCTGCTCTCATCTGAGACGTCCCACACATTTCACTTGCTGCTGATGCCCCTTTCCCTTGTAATTGACCGTGGGCTGTTTGTGTTTTCAGGCACTGGAGATGTGACAGACGTTGGCCTGGGGAAGGGTCGCTACTACAGCGTGAACGTACCTATTCAAGATGGCATTCAGGATGAGAAGTATTACCAGATCTGTGAAACGTAAGCCCTCTTGCTCTGATACAGTTTACTTGGATGGGATTTTAGATAATGGAGACTGCACAGATTTTGCTTGTTTACTATTTTTAATTACAGTTCTTCCATAAGGCTTGCCCCTTCCCCTATTATGGTTTTTGATTACAACAAACACAGATCTTAAGAGACTGCAGAGGTCTTGTCTGAGTCCTCAGGCAACCTGAATATACAGAGGCATTTGTGGGTGGCTGGAGGGTCTCTGCTAATGGGTCAGTCTTGTGTGTCTAAAGAGGGGTTGAGAAGGGGCAAGTACTTTCTAGCTGTGGACTTAAGGCTGGATGCTTGTTCTTCAAATAAGTGCTCTGAACTCTGACCATCTGTGGAAGATAACTGCTTGGGGCTGACCAGAAAGTGTTTTTCAAGCACCTTTTGTGTATCCTGGAAGAATTGAAGGCTGGACATCTGCCAGTGATTGAACTGCCTCCTGATGGGTCCCTCTCTCACTGAATTGTTGGTGGACCTCACAAGCCATTGCCAATGTCAGAACTGGGCTGTGGAGCTTATTTTCAAGGGGAGAGGAGCCTCAGCACAGGGCTGCAGGACACGGTAGCACATCTACCTCTTGGCTTTAGCACTTGAGGACTGAATCTTCTCTGGACTTGCAGCCCATTAGGGCAGCCATGCTGTGGCTGTGCCTCTTGCTAGCTTATCGGTGCTTATCACTGCTGGTGGTAGAGCAGCCCTCTTCCTGTTGGGGGGTTTGTTTCCAAAAGCCAGGGCAGCTTTAGGGGCTGGGTAGGGTTAGGAGCCCAGTCAGGAGTAGCCTGTTGCATGCATTCCCAGTCAAAGGGCATCAACACCTATTATAAGTTCCAAGCTGCATTTAACCAAAGCATCTACAAAGAGATTTTGAGATCTCATAGGCAAAGAAGAAGGGTTCTGTCCTGGCTGGGAGACAGTCACATGCATGACTGGGTGTCTCATCCAGCTGATGTCTGAGGATGATTGCATGTGGCTCCCAAACCCCTGGTAAGAGCGGAGCACATGACTCCCTTTGACACAGGTTTCTGGAGACTGACTATCCCTGCACATTTCCTCATTCTTTTCTGGTGTAACCTTCTGGTAAGAGGAGACCTGCTCCTTGGCAGCCCTCTGCTCCTTGCCAAGGTGCTGCCAGATGAGGCCTTCCCAGAGCGAAAACTTCAGGTAAACATGTGGTTTGATGCTACCACTAAGCTGATCAGGACTAGATTGCCCTCCGTGGTTTTGCCTTCATCAGACTTACGACGATCAGCTCCTTGTTACTGCAGGAGAGTAGTGGTGGCAGAAGGTTATGTGGGAGCAGAGAGAGTGTAACTAGTATGAGGGGAGTAGGAGCAGAGAATGCAGAAAGCTTGAGAGGCCTCAGTGGGTCTGAGGGACCAGGGCCGTGCCACCAGCGTCCCTGTGAGTGACATTTGAGGTAACTGCTGCTTCTCTCCACAGTGTGCTGAAGGAGGTGTATGCTGCCTTCAACCCAGATGCAGTTGTGCTGCAGCTAGGGGCAGACACCATTGCTGGAGATCCCATGTGCTCTTTCAACATGACACCTGAGGGAGTGGGCAGGTGCCTGAAGTATGTTCTTCAGTGGCAGCTAGCAACTCTAATCCTGGGAGGAGGTGAGTGCAGACACATCCTGCTGTTTACAAGGAAACAAGTGTGTCCTCCTTGAGTGTGTGCCCTTGGGCTCAGCACTGACTTCAGTTTAACAGGGTGACTGCTGGGGAGCATTAGGAGGGCACTCTGTGACATGATAATATTTTCACATAGACCTGAAATCATTGATACTCACATGTGTAAGACTCAATCCTAACCCAAAGACCTTGAGTTTAAAGGCTGCTTGGCTTCTCCAGAGAAGAGCAGAGGCTGTTAACCCAAATAAACTGACCCTGGCTTCTCAATGGCACCATGGATTCCCATCTCTGCTGACCAGCCTTTCAGCATTTCTCTTTAAAAGTGAGCGTTGTGTTCCCAAACCTACCCTGGGCATCTGGCAATGAATTTCTTCCTTTGGATTCAAGCAGAGGCTTAGGAAAAGGACTGGCTGCCTGCACAGTACTGCCAGGCTCTAGTACCCAGGGAAAGCAAAGGTTGATTTAGCTCATAATATTTAGCTGCATAACCAGCTGCTTGTCCAGTGGGGAGACCCTGTGACAGACTTTATGCAATAGAGCATTTCAGAACAACAAAAGCCACTGTGTGTTGGGGAGAGCCTATCAGTCCTGTGCCTGGAGCTGAAACAGCTCAAGCTGCTGTTGTCTTTGGGATGGGGCCACAGGGATAGCATGTTAAGCCTAAAAATTGGTGTGCTTAATGCACTTTAGTTTGGAAAGATTATGAGTGTTCTGTCCTGCTGTGGCATGTCTCTGAGGATGCTGGGGATGGCACCTTTCAGGCAAAAAGAAACTTCAAAAATTTTGTCAAAAAATGAGGGACAACTATTTGTTACTCATGAAAATACCAAAGGAGTGTCCTACCACTGCAGCTCGTGGAAGCATTTGGAGTGGAAAGTGGGAGACGAGTCAATACTTACAAAAAAGTTCCCTCAAAAACATGAACCAAACCCAAGTTGAAAAATATGGTCTCACTCTCTTTTCAAAGTGATTTTTCTCTCTTACTATTTTAGTCAACTTTGCTGGGGGTGGGATGGGGAAGAAACAACCCAACAACTTCTGAGGCTCTTGCAGAACTGCTTTCAGTTCAGGTATCTCCTTGTGGGCTCATATACTGTGACCATGGAGGTGACCGTTACCATACTGACTGTGAAACCTCATTTACTTGTGAAGTAGTCACAACTTGTACTAATGAACTTTGTATTTGTCCCTCTCAAGCATGACAGTACTGAAGAACTCACCAGGGAATGGCTGGGTTTGTGTATTATGCTTTGTGGGTTGAAGGCTGACATTGAAAAGCAGGGCTCCCCCATCTCCACTGCTGCTTTGCACTTCTCTCCTGTTGCCTTTGAACACCCCTCCTTGTTGCCAGGGGAGAGCACAGTGCACGGGGCTGGGGGCTCATGCTGGGCCTGAGATGGTCGCTGGAGGAGTTACAGCCACCTGTGCCACGCTGGGTGTAACTGGGATTCAGTTTGGGAGGTCTGCCCTTGCACACAGACTCGCTTAGAACTGGCCTTGTGTAGCCAGCAGGTGCAAAATGCAGTTTTTGGGCACAACTAGAGTAGATGAAATAAGCTGAATTATGTGAACTGTGCATATTCCCTCTGCAATTTGTTCCTTCCACTAAAGTATCTCCCTCTCTCTTCCCTTCTCCCACTTTTCCTCCTCTGAAATCACTTCTCTTGCTGGAGACAGGAGGCTACAACCTTGCCAACACAGCTCGCTGCTGGACATACTTGACTGGGGTCATTCTCGGGAGAACGCTGTCCTCTGAGATCCCTGATCATGAGGTAAAGCTTTGGCAAATCCTCCCCTCACATTGTGTGAGAGCTGATTCATCTACCTAATCTGAACAGCATCATTTCTGCTAATACTGTTTTTTTGAGCCCTTCCTGTAACTTACTGTAGTTCATTGTCCTAGCAGCATAGTGGGTCCTTGTTCCCCAAACCTGAGGCTGTCTGCGTCTTTTTGCAAGGGCTATCAAGTGCAAATAAACTCCAGTCTCGGGTAATTAGAGAGGATCAGGATGGGGAATCACCTGTTTGCTCAAAGAGCTCTTTAGGATGTGCACATATTTTTGCAAGGAAAGAGCTAGGCCTTTCTCAAGGCTTTGAATTTTAGCCCTGCTTTCATTGACTCACAGAAAGTAGCAGGTGCAGCTCTGAAGCTTCTCTGACCAGCAGTCTTGAAGTGGGCCACGAGGGAATGAGCAGTGTAGGATTGAGCTGACTGCAGGATGTTGCAAGGTGCATAGTGGGGCCCTCCTCTGAGCATCCTGACCTAGTTGGAGATGTCCCTGCTTATTGCGGGGGGTTGGACTAGATGACCTTTAGAGGTCCCTTCCAACCCAGTACATTCTATGATCCTGTGATTCATTATGTCAAGTGAGAAGTATTGTCCAGGAAACTGTCAATCTGCCTGTCTCCTCTCTGCCACAGTAGCCAACAGCAGAGGCAGTGGGATAAGTTTAAAACACAGCGTGAACACAGTTTCTCTGAGTGGTCTTCCAGTTTCCTGTGCTGTAAGGCCAAGATGTATCCTGCTGTCTCTATATTTGTCCCATTGGTAGCATGTAAGGCTTGGTTTGTGAGAGGACTCAGTGTTATTATGGTACTTGGATGTTGAAGCTGGTCCTGGGGGCAGCTGTGGGTGTTCAGCACTTCTCCAGACCTGTCCTAGTCAAGAAGAGGAGCGCAAGGCTAGCGACTGGCTGTGCACTGTGTGCTTTACAGGACTTGCTGCCTGAACTGGGAAAGAGGGTGGCTGCTTCTCCAGGGGGGCATGTTTGGAACCAACCTTTTGGTTTCTGTAACTCCTTGCTCTCTAGCCAGTGCTTGACAGGGCTGAATTGGCTGACCCTCTGGTTTGGAGCAAGGCAGGGATGCCTGGTTGTATACCCAGTTTTGTTTTGATAAAAAAAATCGGATTTGCAGGTAACTATGTGTAAAATGGGTGTCTTCAGCTTTCCCAAATAGACCATTTGGATAGACATTTAACTGCTCTTGGCTGTATCACTGAGCTCTGTTTCTCAAGGCCTTGAATTAGTAGTGGATGCAAAGTTCAGGTGGGCGCGGACGCCGCAGAAGCACGTCTTTGATGTGGTTAAGGTACATGTGCCCCTCAGATGGGGAAAATGTTTTTGCCTTTTGCCCTGGGTTCAGCCAGGGGAGGGTTAATTTTCACAAGCGGCTGCAACTGGGCGGGGCCAGAGCCGGGTAAACACCCCGATGGGCTATTCATACCAGACTTGACATCAAAGCAGAGTTCCGATGGAGTCGGGAAAGCTGCTTTGTCTCGGTGAGGGCTTCGGTGTCACTGACTTTAGATAGGATTTCACTGGTATTTGCGATATTGTTGTTGTCTTGTCTCTCTGGGTTGCTTTATTAAACAGTTCCAATCTCAACCCACAGGAGAGGGGAGCAGCGAGCTAGGGTTTAGCTCCTGGCTGAGGCTGAACCCAACACCTTTTTCCAAACAGGTACCCATGGGGAGCCTTGCTCCAGCTCAGCCAGCCAGAGACCTCTTTGATTCTCCTCTCCTTTTCTCTGCAGTTCTTCACAGAATATGGTCCTGATTACGTACTGGAGATCACACCAAGCTGCAGACCGGACCGCAATGAGCCACAGAGAATTCAAGAAATTCTTAACTCTATCAGAGGTGAGTTGTTCAAGCCAACAGTCCTACTTCAGGCTTATGAGTCTTTTTAGGGAGGACTTCAGGAAGGCTCTTTCTTGCTAGTTAGAAAGGTGAACCAAATTCACTTGACTGCTCATCATGTACAACGTCATATGTTTCCTGCTTCACTTGGGATTCTCAGTATTAGTAGCACATCAGCTCAGAGCTGTGGGTCCCTGTTAGGAAAAGTTGCCATTGCCTTTCCATCTGGGCAGAGGAGCATGAGCCCTTGTCCTTACTAGAATCAGAAAACAGCCCAGGATGTAAGGGACTTCAAAGATCATCTGGCCTGACCTTTAGTGGGAAAGAGCCTAGATAAGATTATCTAGCACCCTCTCTAGCTGCATCTTGGAAACCTCTGTCTATGGGGACTCTAGCATGTCCCAGGTGAGGTTGTTCCAGTGATTTATTCTTCTCACTGTAAAAAACGTCATACAGCAAGGTGAAACCTCTCCTGGTGCAGCTCATACCTGTTGCCCCTTGTCCTCTCCATGTGGTTCCTTGTGAAGAGAGAGCCTCTGTCCTCTCTGTAGCTACCCTTCAAGTGCTGGAATACTGTAGTGAGGTCCTCCCTAGCTTTCTCTTCTCCAGGGAGAAGAGGCCCAAGTGCATCAGCCTTTCTTCAAACTTTAATTTTTGAAAGAAAATTTGGCAATTTCTCCAAACTTTTGATCATCTTTGTGGCCCTCTTTTGGACACTCTCCAGTCTGTCCATGTATTTTTTGATTTGTGAGGACCAGAACTGGACACAGTACTCCAGGTTTGGCTGACAATTGCTGAGTAGAGTGGAATGATTTCATCTCTCTCTCTCTCTCTCTCTCTCTCTCTCTGCTAGTAATGGCCCTGTGGATGCTGCCCCAGGATCCAGGTTGCCTTAGTTGCTGCAGCAGCACATTGATGAATTGTGTTCAGCTTGCTATCCACCAAGACCCCCAGGTTCCTTCCCGCAAGGTTGCTCCCCAGCCACACAGACCCTAGCCTGGACTGGGTCCTTGGTTATTCTGTCCCAGGCACAGGACCTTGCCCTTGTCTTTATTGAACTTCGTACTGTTCTTGTTAGCCAAATCTTCTAGCTTGCCCTGGTCTCCATAAGGTGTCTCTCCCTTCTAATGTGTCCAGCTCGGCATCCAGTTTGGTGTCGTCAGCAAACTTGGAGAGGGTGCTTTCAATCTCATCATCCACATCGCTTATGAAGATGTCGAACAGTGTGGGGACCAGTGTCAATCCCTGGGGAACCCCACTTGTGAGAGGCTGACAGCCTGAGTAAAATCCATTCATCACCACCCTCTGTGTGCTGCCTGTGAGCCAGTTCTCTCCATACCCACTCTGCAAACCATTCATCCAATCTGTATTTTGCCAGTTTGTTCTGGAGGAGGTTGTGGAAAACGGTGTCAAACACTTTGCTGAAAACCAGTTAAACAACCAGTGCCCATGTCAGCAGAAGTTATTTTCTTGTAGATGACCGGATCAGCCTGGCACCATTTTCCCTTGGGAAATCCATGCCAGCTTTCCCCAGTCGCCTGCTTCATTTGGTTTGTGTTAGTTTCTAGGCTGACTCATTTCATGACTTTTCCAGGGATTGAAGTAAGACTAATGTGCCTGTCATCTTCTGGGTCCTCTTTTGAGGCCTCCTTTGTAGGTGTGACCGTTGTCCTCTTCCAGTCATCGGGGATATCCCTGGATCTCCACAGCTTTTCAAATATTACAGACAGTAGTCTTGCAACAGTGTCAGCTGCTTCTCTTGACATAGATTTATGTGGGTAGCCAGGCTGCTCACCTGCTTGGGAAGGGGTCTCAGACCCCAAGTTTGGTCAGCTGCTGCACTCAGTGGTCAACTTGTCCCAGGCCATGCTGCTTTTTCCCCTGCTGTGGACAGGATGCCTCCCGTGTAGATCCAGACCTGTGGTGAGCACCCAAAAGGCTTCCCATCCAGAACCATGTGTGGCTGAAACAGAGCAGGAAGCTCAGGTACTGGGTAGCAGGATATCCTCTGTTGCACCACCTGCAGAGAGGAAAACTCCTGCCTGTGGTAGAAGGGAGAGTAGAAAAACCTCTCCCTCTCTCCTCAGACACCATGGAGGGGTTGGTCCAAGAGCCCAGTGCTTTCCAGGACTCGTTTTCCCTGCAGTGGGGCAAGGAGGGTCTGTCTCCCTCTGCAGTGAAATGGTGACAGATGGAGCAAGGCAGAATTGCAGCCCCTACCCTGGGCTGTGCAGGTGTTGTGGTACTGCCAATGCTGACGGAACAGACCTGCTGGTTGTGGGGTAGGGTGCTGGATGGACTGACAGAAGCAGAGCCATGGCATCTGCTCTTAACTGTTGACTCCCAGCATTGCCTTGCTGCCTGCTTTGCTGTGCTGGTGAGCTGTCCATCTATGGCCCCAGCTGCCATGTGGAACAGTTACTGGGAGTGCAGAGCATCCAGTCCTAGAGCACAGAGGATAAGTCTTCATCTGCTTCGGATGTGAACCAGTGTATCAAAAGGGAAATTGTGGGGGAGGAGGTTGCAGGGAGAGGACAGGGACTGCCAGTCCAGCCTGCCTGCTCTCTTTAGCACGCTTAGCTGCCCCAGAATTGAGGGTCACCTGCCAAATGCTTTGCCAGGAGCCTTGTAAAGCCCCAACTATTCTTACTTGAGGCGTAAGGAGAGACTGTTCTGCCTTTGGTAGGAGCGTGTGTAGCATCCCTGAGGCCAGCTCCTGGGTGCTGGCATCCCTCCATCAGCCCTGGGGGCAGAGCCAGAGCCACCTTGCTCTTCTCAGAGTTTTATGCAGAGCTGGGGCTTGCCTGAGGGCAAAGGAAGATGGTTCCCCACCAAATCTTCATGCATTTCCTCTGGAGCTTGGGACAGAGCTCTAGCCAGGCAGGAGTCTGAAAGCTGTTTGGAGTCCAGGGCAGGCAGCTGGGTTAGCCCTGCTAGCTCCTGCAAGGCTTCTTCAGTGCCCTTCCCTGTCTTATCCATGTCCCTGGGAGGAGCTGGGGGCAGCAAGACAGGGCTCAGCAGCCCTTTTCACTCGTGGCGCATGTTGTGAATGTCAGTGTTAAAAGCAGAGAAGGAGGAGGTGGGTGGGAGATGCAATAGCTGTGGATGCCCAGGAGTGTCCATTTCCAAGCACAGGCCAGTCCTCAAGAGGGGACATCCCCCTTGACCTGTCCAGGAGGGGAGCAGGAACGGCATTGTTTCAGAACTGGAGGGGAGGGATCTGGGCTGTGCACTCCTGGCAGCGCATGCAGCCTGGAGGAGGGACAAGGAAGCAGGGAGTGAGCGTGTGCCCCTCTGTGCTTGCCCATGAATCCTGTACCAGTGATGAGCCTGCGGGAGAAATTCATAGTGGAAGTGGTGGCAGGGTCGTCTTTGGGTAGTTCCAGACGTCTGGTTGGCGGGAGAGCAGCAGCCTCTGTGGGGGGAGCGAGGGGCAGGGTCTGTGTGGCAGCTGGCATCCCCGTGTCACTGTGTGCTCAGTCAAGTGTAGGGGTGGCACCCCTGCCCGGGCCGCTCCGTCAGGCTGAAACATCCATGCAAATACTCTTTTTATTTGCAGGGAATCTGAAGCATGTTGTTTAATGGAGAAGGAAGGCCCGAGTTTCCGCAAGAGCATTTCCAGCGGGGACAATGGTGTGTTTATGTGAGCAGCTGGTGAAATTTGTGGCTGCGGGGGAAATTTCAAAGAATTTACTGTTGGTTGGTTGATTTTATTTTTTTTTTCTCTCTCTTTAAAGAGCAAAAGCTGCTGTGCACCACAGGCATCATGGCTTTCCCCAGGCAGCAGGAGTGTGGGCCCTCCAGCCACAGCCTTCCAGTGCTGGGAGAGCCTCCCTAGCTCCTTTCTCTTTCCTTTTTTGAGACCACAGAATTTATTCTCACAACTGGTTTTAAATGTTTTTTTTAAGAGAGGGGCTGCTTAGAGCTGTGAACCCTCCTGAGCTGGAGCCCAGCACCACATTGCCTTCCTGGCCGAAGCATGGCCTCTGTGCTGACCCCTTGGGAAGCAGTGCCAAGGGCCAGCTGGACCTTGGGGCATGGGCTGTGGCCCTTACACAGGGAAAGGCAGAGCCATTGTGTTTTTAGTGGGGATTTTTCTAAAATAAAGTATTTCAAATATTCCTCCAACCCTTTCCTTTCTTCCTACATCCACCCTGCCTTTCCAGTGCACTTTTCCACAGCACTCCGTGCATTCAATGAATGTCTGGCCAGTGCTGGAAAGGAAAAATCTGCAGTTGTATTTGTGACAGTCCCTTCCAGCCCCATCACATGAAGTGGCACAGACACCTCTTCCAGGGTGATGGGTGAGTTCTCGAAACCCTTTGTGGAGAGGCCAGACCCCAGGAATGCTCTCCAGAGTGTCAAGGGAGATGCAGGGCGTGCTGATAGCGCCTGTCCCGGGAGATCTCACATGAACCTCCAGATGCCTTAGTGCCCCGTGAGAGCTGCCGCTCAGCATCTTGGCAAGGCATTTCAGCAGGGGGACAGGGACACAGCGGGGGCAGAGCCCTTCCAGTGGCCCTGCAGGCGGGTCCCCACTTCCTGGCCAGCGAGCCAGAAGCTCCGCAGCCAGCACTGTGCCACAGGGGGAGTCCGGTGCCCCCAAGAGCCCAGCTTGCCACCCGGTTGGCTTAGGGATGCGGGCACAGGCAGCTGCCCCATCCAGGCTGCTGGTTCTGGTGTCGTTGAGTCGAATCTGGTGGATGAGGAGGTTCTCGGGGCACTGGTGCTGGAGCTTGCCCTTGATAGGGTGGATGAGCTGCCGAAGCTCTAGCTTGGCCACCGTGAGTTCGACTTCCCTGCCGACCTTCTGGCTGGCTACTGAGACCAGAGGGTGGCTGTGTCGGGGGGCTTCTGTGCTGCCTCACCAGGACCCACGATTCAGTGCCAATGGATATAGGGCACACCTCAGATTGCTCCCCAAAGTTGAGGGCTTGTGCTGTGGCCGGGTTGGGGATGCAGGGAGCACCCAGAGTCCAGGAGATGGTGGGAAGGGGTTGCCCTTGGGGCTGAAGGAGGGGTGAGGCCGTGCTGCCCGCTCTCAGCATGGAGCTGGGCAGGCAGGGGTCTCAAGCTGCTGTCTAATAAAATCGAGAAGGAATTCCCATCCCTCTGGCTGTGCCCCCTTCCCTGTCCAGCTTAGAGCTGGAGTGACACACAAGGGGGTTCTCGATGTGGGACGCTGCCTGGAATGGGAGGAGGGTGCTCCTTGCAGCCCCCGTGCCTCCTCCTGGTTTTATGGTGGCTCCAGGGGTGCCACCCGTGCACTGTCTGTATCATGTCACGCCCGAGGATAGGACCTCGGTTTCACCCTGCTGTGGGAGCGATGGTGAGGGGGCTGCCCTGCTCGGCCTGTCCTGCCCCATGGACCCTCAGTACCCCAGGGGGGACATGCCA